AGATGAAGTCTCCACCTTTTTTTTTTGACAAAGGTAAAAGATGAAGTCTCCACCTGTCAACCATTGTTCATTCCATAAGCCTCTAATTGCTGCAAACTCATGCCAGAGATCCTCCCGTTCTGGATTTGTGTGAGGTTTATAGACCCTTGTGAAGCACCTTGTAAAATCCCGTTGTGTACTTTTCAACATGCATGAAATGGTGTAAGAGCCTTGTTGATTCCCCTGTTTGGCCATTGCCTTTTGTCGCGCAACACAATGATACCCCCACTCCTCCCAATTGTGTTCTGAGCGGCCCATCTAACCCATCTATTTCCCCACATTTGCCTAATCTTTTGAGGTGATCATTTGTGAATCATTGATTTGATTGTACTCCTCTTATATGCTTCATTGAGCCCCATGCACATTCCAACTCAATATTTCAATCTTCATCCAGAAAAAGCCTTGTAGTACCTACCCCCCTATGTTGCTTGGACTTAGGTGCGGGTATCCGAGACGGGTGCGGATATAGAGTAGCTAGTCGAAATTTTTTCCCTCAGTTTTGGCCTGAAACATGAAATAACACGTATATATATCAAGAGGATAAGCTAAAAAGGAGACAAAGGTAAGGCCTACAATATTGTCGTAAATTTGTTTTATTTTAATTTTAAGAAATCAAATTCTCAATTTCCCCCCCAAATTTGTCCTTGATTTTGGTCAAAGTATCCGGATGGGATTGACTGAATTTGATATCCATCTTGCGCCTTGCATCCGCACCCACCCGGCACCAGTGTCACGTCGAGACGGGTACGACTAGGGGTGGGCATGGTATGGTATACTATGTTGCGCGGACTCTTCATTTTTGTAGCCAAACCCGTCTCGACGCGACACTAGTGCGGGCGTGGGTGCGGGGTGCGTGTCAGATTCGGTCAATCCGATCCGGGTACTTTGACCAGAGCCAAGAAAAAAAATTGGGGAAGAAGAGTTCAGTTTCATGGCCGCGGAAAGTTAACTTTTTCTCCGACAAAGTTGTCATGAGATTTGGTTGCTCCATGGAAAAGAACAGAGAAGAGGCAAAACTTACAAGAAGAGAGAGAGGAGGTAGAGCTTTTTTCTTGTATAAGAACAGAGGGGAGAAGAAGGCTCCATGGGAAAGAACAAAGGATTCAGAGTCTTTTTCTTGAAAAAGAACAGAGGAGAAAGCTTTTTTTCTTGAAAAGAAAAAGAGTAGGCGAAGGGTTTCTTGGGAGAAGAAGGGGAGAACGCTTGAAAAGAAACAGAGTAGGCGAAGGGTTTCTTGGGAGAAGAAGGGAAAGGCACGGTGCTTTATGAATTGTATCATCTAATTAAAGTTAGGCTATATATATATATGATTATTTCTTTTTTTATAATAAATAAAAGGAATTATAATTTTTTTAAAATTAATTAGTAACAAGTTATAATTAATTTATAGATGTAGGAGAGTGCATTATTTGGATTAAACCAAAAATTCAAATCAAATTATTATTATTATTATTATTATATTGAATATTTTTAGCCGAATCCCCGCACCCGTATCCATACTCGGATTCGCACCCCCGAATCTTAAAATTAAAATTTTTCCTGATCCGACTCTTGGATTCGCATCCGTCTCAGATATCCGCACCCGAGCAACTTAATATACCGAATTACTATACCATACCGAAATTTTTAATACCGTGGTTTTGATATGATAGTATTTGGTATGGTATACATTTTAATTTTTTTGGTATTCGGTACGGTATTTGGTATTTAGAAACAATATACTGAAATACCGAATACCATACCAAAGTATATAGTTACATAAATGATATAAAATACTAACAAGTATGCAACCTAGTATTAGTATATACTAAATGGTTAGAAGTTGAAACTTTGACTATTCTATTTTGATTGAAATGTATTTGAAATTTAATTGATTAACAAAAGGAGTTGTTTGTATTTTATTTTGAATATATACTTCTACATGTGTAATGTGTTAGTATGATACACTCGAGATCTTTTTTTAATTGTCAAAGTCATAATACTCTATTATATGAGTATATATTAGCCGAAGTTGAACAAATTATGGTTATTGATTTACCATACCGTAGAATACCGAAGCCGAAGCCGAACTTCAAAATATCGAACCATGCCAAATTGAATTGGTATGGTAATGGTATAATGTTTTAAAAGCCGAATACCGAAATTACGGTATCGAAACTTTGAAATACCGTACTGTACCATACCATGCCCACCCCTAGGTATGACAGTAAAAACAAAGAGTCCGTGTAACATAGCATTACCCCCTTCTGTTTTATTACCATCTAAGTTCATTCCACTTCAATCTCTCCAATTCTAGTGATTGCTTTTTCTTCCCCTTTGTTTTGCCTGTGATGGTTGATGATTGATGTTACTTTTGCCTCCTCTCTCTTTTGCTCCATTAGTAAGACCATCCTCAGTATCTTATATTCAAATCCCACAACATTAATTCCAAAAGCCTTGCATGCTTTGAACATAATTGACTTAGTCCATCTTGAAGTTTCAATAACTATAGGGGAGTTAATTGGCAGCATGCTTGGAGAATCATTCCATGGAAGTGTAATATTGTCGCAAGACGAGAATCTAACTCAGTACTACTTACTGCTTCGAACTAATTCAGTGTCAGCTGCCTGGGTATTGCTGATTTGGAGTTTTCTCCCTTGCCGTCTTAAGTTGCTCGGACTCTCCAAAAATGTTGCCGCACCCGTGTCGAATCCTTCAAAAATACACTATTTTTGGAGGATCCGACACGCATCCGTCGACATTTGATGGATAATTGAGTGAAAAGTCATTAGTCAAGGGGTCCAGTCGTGATTCCTTTGTGGCCTCTAGTTGGTTTGCAAACCAGTCTCTGTGATTTGCCAAACCAGTCCCCTGCTAGGACTTTGGCTGCTTCCTGTCTTGATGGTAGTTCGAAAAGGAACTTGTTATGAGGCCACGGACATGATTCTGTGCCCCGCTGTGACTTTCCAACGAGAAAGATACCATTTTTGAATGATTTCTGGGTTTGGCTGGAGTGGAAGGGGTCGTTGAAGCATCCAATCAAGCATTTGCTTAAGAAGCTCTTTGCATCTTCGTTTGTGTTTGTGTTCCCATAGAGAACAGTGATGAGGGATATGACGGTTAGAATATGAATAGGAACAAGAATAGTAAATATAATCCTACTTAGAATAGAAATAGGAATAATATATTGAATCCTACTTGAAAAAGGATTATAATGTAGTGTCCTAGATGGAAAAGGAGTCTAATGTAGTGTCGTCTCAATGTAATAATGTAGAGACACAAATTCAATAATATTATTCTCCTATATTTCTCACAATAACTATTGAGCAGTAACTTCTTATGACACTACAAGCTTGCCATGTGTCTTTTTTAGCACTATGATTGTTCTTCTACAGGTATTTGCCTTTTCTTTGCTTACTTGATTGCCGAGCCAATGGTAAACTGATATTCAGGATTGGCTTTTCAGTTCCTCCCCTTTGAAACTTAAAAATTGTAATGAATCCTGCTAAACTGATATAAGTGTCCTTGCAATCTATAGAAACAGAGAAGTTAGTACAATGTTTGGTCCAATATTTAAGAATACGATAAAGTATTTATGGCAGCTTACAGGTGATTTGGGGGAATTAGGATGCCAAAAGATAGGGACAAGAAGAAGAAAATAAAGAGAAGCTGGGAGCCTGGGTAATATCAAGAACGGAAAGATGAGAAAGAAAGCGACTCTTTCTGTGAGCATTTGAAGTAAAAGTTGGTGGTTGACAGTGGTTGTGTTTGGTATGGAGTTTTCCATTTTTCTCTTGGTTGGTCAATTTTTTTGGAGAACATGTTCTCTAGGAAAACAAGTTGCTTAAAAATGAGGAAAATCACTTCTTTGGTGGAAGTAGTGAACACTAGTTCCATAAGTGGTCTTCCACGTTGATCGTCTACTTCCCCTCCACATCTCCACCATCCCCACACCCCTACCACCCACCTCCATCCACGTCATGTAATGTTTGTCTAGATTATATACTAATGTTTTTGGGATAATATTTTCTGCTTGCTTATAAAATGCTAGAACATAAGAAAGCCACTTGTTTTTGAGAACATTTTCCTCATACCAACCTCACCCCTTCCCCTTGTGCGCGCGTTCTACTCTCACATCAGGTGGTGCTTACACCTTTGCATAGTATTGCGTCACAATTGTTTTTAGCAAGTTCTAATTTGTGTCAAGGGTAAGTAGTGCATTTACCAAACTCTTTAATTGCACAATTAATAGAGCATCACAATATCATTCAAACTAATCTTTGCCTTTTATAACTACATTTACTGAGATTCATTTTGCTTTACATCAGCCCAAAGTCTTTGAATCTCATATTTAGAAGTGCAGTACAAAGTAATAATTGATGATAGCATCTCCAGTTTCCGTTATTGTCTCTCTATTATATTGGCTATCTATAATTGAATTACTGATTATGATAGATCAGGCTTCACATCTAATAACCGTTCCGATTTTCATGTTTGAGAGTTGTTCTCCAATAAATTATGTATGGAGCCACCGAGGTATGGATGAGTAAGTGTTATGGTTTTCTTACCTGGTTTTATGGTTTGGTTCAATAATCTCTTTCGCCAATGAATTCGCAGTGTGTCCTTTTGGATTTTGATATGCTGAATCATACCCCACCTCCCCCAACATTCTGCCTAGAAATCAACAGTGGCCATAATTTGAATCAATTTTTTACCTTATCAATAAAAATAAATCAACAGTGTCCATTTCCCATTTTACTCCCTTGTGTGACTTGGAACTCCCAACCTTTTGGTTGAAAGTGCTCTTGCCAATGGAGCAACCCTCACTGTCATTGTAAATTGGGATCACTCAACTATTATAAGTTGCCAAGTCCAGAAGCATCACCCTTTGGCTTCACTTTTTAAATAAGTAATATAGCTATTACTTTTTGGTTTGCTATGGTTTTCCGCTAATCTGAGATTCTTGTGATTTTCTATTGTAGATCACTTGGGATGAACCAGAAGTTCTGCAGCATGCTAACAGGGTGAATCCTTGGCAAGTTGAGTGTATTCTGCCAATCCCACAGTTTCTTCCTCCATCGAAGAAAATAAAACTGCCTAATGGGCTGCTACCTGATGGAGAGAGAAGTCCCTTCCCTATGACAGGATTGGGTAGTTTCCCTATGACAGGGTTGGGTAGCTTCCCTATGACAGGGTTGGGTAATCCTACGATTGGACTCGGTAGCCCATCATTGGGCAATTGTACATCTTTTCCTGTGGGCATGCAGGGAGCCAGGCATGATCAAGTTTGTGTATCAAGTTTATCCAATGTTAAAAGCAATAACCTTGGGTTGTGCACTAACAATAGCTTAGATGAAGAAATCAAGGCAAAGCTTGACAGTGTATCCACCAAACTGAATATTGGCAGTTCATATTCAGACAATTTATCACCGGATAGTCAGAGCAGTGTGCATTTTGGGGACAATGAGCTGATTACAAAACCGGGTTCCAGCTCTTTGACAAATGATCGTTTCAGTACTTTCCAGTTATTTGGTAGGGTCATCCATGTTGAACGTGTTGAGGAAGCTTTAGATGGTTTTGGTTTTTCTGAAAGTGATAACGTTCAAGTGTTTAGAGAGATAGATGATCCATCCAACTCAGACGTCTCACCAAATAAAGATGATCCATCCAACTCAGACATCTCACCAAATAAAGATGATCCATCCAACTCAGACGTCTCACCAAATAAACCTTTCAAGCTGTTTGACAATCCTGATGTCCAACATGAATGAGCCTCAGCTGTCGAAGCATGTTCATCATGACATAGCTATAATCCGTAATTGCCATCAATTGCAAAACTGTACAGGTAAAACACTAATTATCTGGACTATGCCTTGATAGAACAGATAGAGCCTATTAGAACCTACTGCAGATTTATATCTTCACTCTTTATGCTATATATCAAATGTTTTTTTGTGGTTCATTTTATTTATATGAGATTTTCAAGTACAGATATTAGGAGTTGTCCCTCAAAATTTGTTTTCTAGTTTGGACTGCTTGCTAGGCTGGTGGAAATGAAACAGTGGCTGCTACAAATACTATTATTCTTTTATAATAAGAACTAAAGAGAACTCCCATTTTTCACTTCTGAAGAGTAAGCATGATCCAATGATTGGGACATTTAATGCATGTTATTTCCAGTTCATTTTATTTCAAGTCTGAAGAAGTGAGATTTTCAAGTACTAATCTTAGAGAGTTAAATTTTTTAAACTCAGATGAAATGCGAGGCTGGTGGAAGTGGATCACTGATTGCTACACTTGCTATCATTTTTGTGTTAATAATTAGAATTAAAGAGAACTTCCAATATTCAATCTTGTTTTCTAGTTGCTGTTTTTTTTTATCCAACACTTTTTGATGGTGTCCAGCATGTCCTTAATGCTGAGGAATACACATTTACCAGTTTCACAAAAAAAAAAAGGCTCTGTGTGGTTCCTTGGTTTGTGTTCTATTACAAACAAAAGGTTATATTTGATCTGTGTTGTGTATCATGACCTAGTGTTCTTTGATTTAATCATGATTTTGTGTTAGGCTCGCACTTCAGTTTGTTTTAATTGCTTCTTGACTAATGATATAACGTTCAGCTGGATGTTTTGGAACTTGGGACATGTCTTTTATCTTCCTAACCCTCTGTTATAGCTTTCGATTGCAGTTGAATGATGATTATGGAGATGGATTCTTCATATAGCGTGCTCTGCTTGTAGTAACCTGATTGTACTCTTTTAATTCTTTTCAGGTATCCAAGGGAGGAGTTGATTCCAGCAGTGGTTCCATTGTGGATGTTTGCTTTCGCTTTGGTATTCAGAACTAATGTAGGCTTTAGTTTAAGACGTTTAGATGTCAAGTAAATCATCTGTGTTTTCTTGATAATGATGCCAGTGCATGAGATTGTACTCTATATGTTCCTGTTAGTACTGTGTCTTTGAAAAAGAATCTAATGTGGAGTTAACCTTTTAGATGCAAGTTAGAATTTGCTATGAATGGTAGATGTTTCTTGATTGGGTTACAAATTTCTCATGGTATTATCCTATCTTTCTCTGTTTTGGTAACTTTTTGCCAGGTTTTAAGTGCATATCTTACAATTTCCAATCTCACTAGTCACACATACATGCCTCTTTTACTTTCAAAATTCACTTACAAATCCATCCCATTTGAAACTTTTAAACTGGGGAGGGAGGGAGGGAGGGATTTAGATCAACATATGCATTGGGTGATATACAGGTTTGTGTTCATCGTTATGCATATTTTTCTCTGCTTAGTTTCCTTTTCCTCGTTGCTTTATTATTTTTTTAATGTTTGGCGATGACCACTGCTTGATTCAGTTAACTATTTAAAGTTGTACATTATGCATTGAGGCGAAGGATGGTATTATCACAAAAATACTCCTGTAGTCTGACTTAATATAAATAGGAGTATATGTTACAAGTATTATTCATAATCATAATTATTAGGAGAAAGCATTTTTGGAGTGAAAAATGAAGGTTTATATATTATTGTGAAATTATGTAGTTACACCTACCAATAGGCACCTAAACTTGTAGCATATTTATGCCCATATGAAGTTGGGAGTTAAATGTCAGCTTGTTGGGTTCCCTCTAGCTCTAGGATAAGACAGACATTGATGATTTCATTGTGTCTTGGAAACCACTGAATATTGTTATGATTAGGAACCCAAACGTATTTTTTGCGATGTACGTCAAATAAAGGAATTCATCTTTGTTTTTGTTTTCTTAAGCAGTAGTTGAAGGCACAATGTTCTTGACAAAGACAAATATGATCTTTTAAGCACAAAAGTGTTCCATGGTGAGACACATCATCCACCTTAACATGGTTTTAAAGTTTTAAGTTCCACCTTAACATGGTTTTAAAGTTTTAAGTGTCATATACTTAGAATTTGTCCTTTTATATTTCATTCACACCGAAAAATCATTTTAAAAACATCGAATACCCATCGGCTCAGTGGTGCACATTTTTTCAAAACAAAAAAACTGAACAAAATTTGATAAAATCAAACTGAAGAATTAAATACCCACCCCTAGTTATGATCATTCTTAAAAATGAAAACACACAACTCCTCTTCTACTCAATGATAAAATGAGTTTGGGACAAGTCTGAATAAAAGAGGGATTGAGCTCTTTTTTTTAGTTGGGTCGGATCTGGAGAGGTTAAAAAAATGAAGAGAGTAATTTTTTCATGTCACGTAACATTTTTGGAATTAAAAAATCAATTTAAAGATTTTTCTAATTTGGTATATTTACGAAAATGATAAATATCCACCATTTGTCAGACGATGAGATATACATGCATCAATTTTTAACGAGTCATATATCCACTCTAATAGCAAAGTTGAAGGAATATTTCCCCTTTGCTATAAAAAAGAACAAATGTTCAAATGGCAATATCCTTAGCAATACCTGCCACAAATTATCAAGAGTACAAAACAAAGAAGAAAAATATAAGAACTTTAAAATAAGTACCATTAAACCCAGAATACGTACGAGTGATACCATCAAAGGAAAGCAAGAAAAATAAAAATGGCAGGAGCAAGCATAGAATAAAACTCATTCATAGTAATATTTAATCACCAGTCGAGAATATAACAGTACAGGATGAAGCTTAGGCATACTGTTTAGTAAGAATGTCTCATAAGCTGTACGAAAAAAGGACATTTAAAGAACATATGCTCAATGTTTTCATTTTCTTATATCCCGGAAAACCTGTGACTGGAAGAACTGCTCCCAGAACTTGCTGCGGAATCTTCAACCAGCAGCATAGTGCAAATCTGTCCATCCTCTCTACCAGTAAAGAAATAGGAAAGTGAAGAGTCTGATCCATCATCTCTTGGACAGAACATGCTGTGTAATTCAGAATTCAAACTCACAAAACATCAAGGCGGCTTCAGCTGCAGTTCAAGATATACACTGAGGTGAGGTATGACATACAAGAACAGAATGAGCTTAAAACTGGAACTGCCCCACCCATCCAAACTCACACTTACATCATCATCCAGTTCACATCTTAGTCCTCTAGCTGACAGGTCCCTCACCCACATTGTACTCAAATTCATAATGGATCAATCAGGGATATACCTAGATTTAACCACAGACAGTATGTCACCTCATCTACTTCCTACCTGAATTTGCAAATCACGGATCTTCTAATACAAAGAATCAGGACTTTTGAAACCAGACCTCTTTAAGCTTAAGAAAGATTTTGTTACTCCTAGCTAACGTTATTCTTTCAAACCCTTTTGATTTGGCAAACCTCAGTCATTAAGTATAGCAATACGCCCTTATTGGACTCCAAACCATAATAGAGATGTACAAATTAGCTTCAGAGCATTCAAGAAATTCCCCAACTGAGCACTTACAGGTATCTTGATTTCTGCAAATGCAACACCTTTGAAGAACATGAACATGCACAACATATTTGTGGGTTAATTTCAAGAAGCCTCAGATACAGATGCTCCAAAGAAACACCAAAATGTATCATGATCCTTTACTTTAACGAGTCAGTCCAAGTGTATGATCGAAATTATCCTACTTCAACTTTAACATATCAAATGAATATCTAATAAAGCTTAAAAGCTCATGTTGGGATTACATACACAGCTCTTTTTCTAATAAACAGTACACACAAGTAGTGCTCGATTAGGGTGTCTTCTGCCATGCAGAAATGCATACATTGTGTTAGATCAAAATATATGAGTTAATACCTTCATGAACTTTTCTTGAAAATAGTAACACTGACCAAAGTGGAAAACAATGCTAGAAAAGCTCCATTTCTTGAGAGCAAAAACTCAGTCCAGGTCAAGGGCTTGGTAATCTGAGTTAACACTTCCTGAAATTGCTCATGCAGAGCTTCCAATGAGCTGGTGTTATCGATCACAATATCTGCCTTTGACCTCTTCAGATCCAGGGACATCTGCGCATTTATCCTGCTTTTGGCCTCCTCCTCCATAGATCCATCTCTAGTCATGAGCCGCTGCAGCTGTGTCTCAGGGTCAACCCAAATGACAACAATGGGTTTAGTCCATTTATCTATCTTGGCCTCAAACAAAAGAGGAACATCAAGAACAATTATGGAGCAACCCTTTATCCACAGCTTCAAAACTTCCATTAACATACCATGTGAAATAAATGGTGCTAGCAACCTACATAGACCGCACCAATTCAACTCTTAGGCAATCTAATAAAACTAGGACAAAATATTATTTAGAGTAAATCAAGAAATATAAAATTTCTATGAACCAATAAATCTTATAGTAAGACAGATTTTACCAATCACATTTGACCTCCATATTTTGTTGTTCAACGCAGTTTTGCGCCAATAGACCACACGCAGGCTTGGTTATTCATGAAGAAACTTTGCCAAAATCTCATAGGAGCGGCCCACTCCACTTCTCATATAGGTGAATTCCATCAAGTGTATACTACTTTAAATACACCATCCTTAAGGACTATAAAATCATGAGTTAATAACTCATCCTCACAATTAGTAGTAGTTCAAAAACTCACTTTTAGTGCGCAATGTCAATATTGACTTGTTATTACCTATATGAACCTACTTCATGGGATCTCCAAACACATAGGTTGGGTTATCATATTTATTGAGAATCATATCAGCCTTACCCCAATCTCTTTTGATGTTTGAAGGGTTAATTTTCTTCCCACGGGTTTAGTCAGGGATTGGCCAAATTCACTTCTGACTTCACATACTCAATGGAAATTCATTTGCAACTAATATGTTTTGTACCAGGAGGTAGATCAGTCAAAACCCATGTTTTACTTCTCTTGATAAAACCAATTTCTATTTTATTGTCTCGTTCCAATATTCAACATCAGAAGAATATATAGTTTCAAAATAATTTGATGGTTCATTATGGACAAGAAGAGTTTGAAAATCATTTCCATAAGAAAAATATTCTTTTCTAAGCCTTTGCTCCTTCTCAGTTTCTCATTAGAGGTAATCCCTAATATTTGGAGGTGACATTTGGTTTTTAATGACATTTATCCAGAGTGCATTCTGCAAAAGATTCAATGCAGATAATAGAACTATCCTTTCTTATGCAGATGTAGTTCTTTTAGCACATTCCTTTTAAGGCAATTACTAGAGCACTTTAACTTAAACAGAATATAGTACTATATTTCTGCTTCTCTTGATTTGACAAGAAGTATCCAATTGAAATAGAAAATACAGGATTAATGAGCTGCCAATCTATGCCTTTTTTTTTTTAACCTTTTGACATCACTTTATATCAGAGTAACAGTTGAGAATGAAAATTTAAATAGCAATAAAGCAGGAGTACTTGAGCAGTAGAATTTCACTCAGTAATTATGTCATAGTTTCATAACTATTTTACCTATTAAGAAGCTGACGTTTTTCAAGATCAGAGAATACTATTTGACCTAGCTTTGCACGATCAACTTCTCCATTATCCAATAAGATGTCCTCACCAAATGCGGCCACAACCTTTTTCCAACCACCAGTTCCTTCCATCAAAATGTTCTACATAATTTCATATTTTTGTCAGTAAAGAGCTTTACTGAGGATTTACAAAATTTAACAGATGGATATACAATAACTCAAGTACAACAATTTAAGACTCTTTAGATTTGATAATAAACTAAATAGACCTAGTAATAGAATGAGAAAAGCAAGAGGAAAAGTAGTTACACGAGCTACAACGTCAGCATCAACAACGGGAATACCATGAGCCTTGAAAAGGTTGGAGACAGTGCTCTTCCCTGAAGCAATTCCTCCGGTCAGTCCAACTATCCTCATTCTAATTTCGGGCACAAATCAAGTAATGAGGAACAACTAAGGCTGCTCAAAGTCAGTTGCTTCCTCTGCCTTACTTTTCCATTGGCAAACGACCTTCTTGATTCGGGGATATCTTCAATATCAATTTCAAACTGAACAATAAGTTGCAGGTTCATTACCAACAAAAAAATTAAACACATAACTTCTGTTAGCACCCTAAATTTATCAAGTAGTATAAAATTACAGATCCCTATAGTGAGGTAGAAACATTTTCAAGATAAAAGAGACAAATATGAAAATGAAATTCAAATTGGTGGAGAGCACCAAACATAATGTAACGTCCCACACTGTCGTGCTAAGGTTTGAATCATTCGACGTATGTGATTTGACCTGACCCGGAAAATTTTGGTGGTTCTTTGGTGTTTATAGGACTTATTTATGATTGGTGAAGTGTTATGTAAGTTCAGAGTCAATTAAAGATTGAAAAGATCAAGTTTGAAGGTGTTGAGCTATGTATGGTGTGAAGTACGATCGTACATTGCATGTACAGGTTGTACCTGCATCGTGGTGAAGCTACAATTTAGCAAGGGAGGAGCCAAGTACATACCGTACACAGGGCCGGCTCTTGCCTATGAATTTTTAGGCCTCAAATTTCTGTAAAAAAAAATCATGTTTAATTTTTTCATGAAAAAAATTAATTATTTATAATTAAAAAAATAAAATAAAATAAATATATATATATATTCTTCGCTAACACTCACATTATTTATCCTTTTTAACCCCTTCTGTACTTTATTTCTTCAAATCTTTGATAGTTACAATAATATTCTGTCAAAAAAAATCAATAGCCAAAAAGTGTTGAACAAAGTAAATTACAAATATTTTTTTTATTTCTTCGTAATTTTTCATATTAAAGTAGGGTATACCAAATTATCAACTTTTTGAATCAGATTTTATGATTCTAACTCTCATCTTTATTTAAAATTTATCAACTTATTACTTATAAAACTATATTATTGATTCGTATAATAATTGTCTCAATAAAATGATGTTTTTCAATGTTGAATTGATAAAGTCTTGCTTAAAAATAATAATTATAAAAAGTATTTGAAAAATTCATTTATAAAAAAAATATTAAGGAATAATTTACATATAAAAATTTAGAAAAATAAATAAATACAGATACAATTTATTTAAATTTTAGACCTCTAATTAAAATTTCGCTTTAGGCCTCTTTAGGTATATATAATGGATGGAAAACTAATTTGATTAGATTAATTGTGTAGTTCAACTGAAGAAATTCATTGTTACTTTCACAAGATGTCTGCATTAAGGAAAAGTCTAAGAGAGCTTCCTTTAGTCTGCTCATGAATGAGAATTGGTTGTATAAGTTCATAAGACAGGGTTTTAACATCACAATAAACAAGCAACAATTCCTCCATTCAGCAGTGTAAACCAACAGCTTGTAACACAAAAATTCTGCCTTAAAAGAAAATCATTGACTCTAAACGCACAGGAACAGAGAATGTCATAGATTGCACTTCGAAGGATCATTTAGGTGTGAACAATTTTCAACTAAGCGATTCGACCAAGCAGTCAACCTACCTATCTACCCCAAATTTCACTCAAAACCAACTCCTAATAGCGCTCGGGTAATCAGACTTCAGTAGTGAATATATTGAGCACATAATAAAATGGAGATCAGGTTTAACCAAAGGCTCAAGTCAAGCAAACTAATAAAAGAACCCATTTCAACAGTTCAAAATTCATGGCTATAGATTAGCATACTGCTCCATGTAACAGTTTCCCTCTCCCCAATCTCCACTTCCAAACAAATTGGTCAAATCTGAACAAAACACTTTAAAATCAACCCGAACTACCCCACGCGCACTTATACACCTCTCCAAATGTCGCTCGGCTACTCAAAACTCAACCGGCATATGAAATAGTCTCTCAGACAATTTGTCGAACACATTGCAGGCAGAACTTTAACCAAACTGTTTTGCACTAGCTTGGTGATTGACTTACCCTCTCATTTACTGGAAAGTATAGTTCAATCCAGAACAAATACATCACAATCAGAATTGAACAATTTGTGCAAAAAGAAAAATTATGTAATAGAAAGAAAGTAAGGAGAGAAAAGTGTAGAGGAGAAGAGACTTTACCTGAGCCTGAGCGCCACTGAAAACCTCCACTAGTGGTGAAGTTGTGTGATCGTGTAAGTGAGCGAACCTGTTAAGAGAAGGGAAATGGATCAAGTATGGTATTTGTAAGCTATGGATTCTTAAATGGCGTAAATGAATAATTTTGTTGTTGGGAGTAATTAATATGGTCATGAAAAAATATATATTCTTCTTGATATATAATTAGTAGAAGCAGGGGGTGTTTACATTTGGCTGAAAAATCGAACCAACTAATTTTAAAAATTGAACTCTAATTTGATTTGATTTTAAAATCCATAATAGTTGATTTGCTTTTATACTGTTTTTTTTATAAAAAAAATACCTGATTAAACTGATAAATTATATATACAATTTTTTTTTATATATCTACATATACTATTAATTTTTCATAAATAATTATAATTTTTTTATACCTTTTAATCACTAGTTTGATATAAATCTACTTATTTCACATGCACTAATTTCTTACAAATATATTTCCAAGCCCAATACTGGTTGTTTGGTAGGGTGTATTAGGATAAATAGTTCATCTATTATATACTCGCTCCATTCTATATTAATTTAATTTTTGAGTCATTTTCCATTTTTCAAATTAACTTAATTGTTCAGTTTTCAAGACTACTTTTAGAGTGTTATTCCAATTTTACCCTTCATTAGTTAGTATTGGAATTCGTGATTAATTAATTTAGTTATTTTAATCATAAATTTTTCAATAATTAATAAGGGTAAAAATGGAAAACTATATTCAATTTATATCTTAATCTACTTTTCTTAAAGGGTGTGAAACACCTCAAAAATTCAATTAATATGGAATGGCGGGAGTATGATACTCCCTTTGTCCAACAATAATTGTCCACCATTGACTTGATACACCCCTTAAGAAACTATAAATAGAAGGGTAATTTTACTATATCACCCTTTGAATATAATAAATACAATGTCTTGAAAAATGTAATAAAGATATAACTATAATTAATGATAAGGGTAAATTAGGAACTAAGTGTAAAATTATTCATTGATTTCATAAAGTGGACAAGTATTGTTAGACTCCTAAAATAGTATAGTGGACAACTATTGTTGAATGGATGGAGAATTATTTAGTACTATATTTAATAGAAATAATGGGTATAAATACCCTCCATTTAGTGGTATTAGTTACACATATAATTTAACACCATGTGATTAATATATTTAAAGACAGAAATATCCTCAAATCATTTTACCATTTTGTTTATTTTTTGATTTTATGTTTTATATTTGTACTGGTAGATTTATTTAAATTAATTAGCTTACAAATTTTATTATTTAGAGAGAGTTGTTTGTTGCTAAATAAATCCAATACAATATTTGAAATGTGAGTTGTTTAACATTTACTAATTGATCACATGATGTGTGTGTGGTTTTCTAATTATTTGTGTTTTGAATAATTTATAAAATTGCATATATACTAAAACTACACCATGCAATTTTTATGTGCAAATGTAGACGGTTTATTCGATTTTAGTATTGTTTATAAAGGAAAAATTCTATAAAATAGCAAACTATTAATTCAAATTAAATGTTATAACCACAGTTTCATTTAGTTGGAATCCGTAGCAAACACTTGACATTCGTCTCTCCCTAGAGAATCTCGCTTGCCACTCTCCCTCGCCTCTCTCACTTTTATACAAACACAAATGTATAAATTGCGTTTGTGTTTGTATAAAAGTGAGAGAAAACTGTATATACAACTACAAATACATATATTTTCGTCCTATACACTTTATAATTATATAAATATAGATCTTCACCTCTAGTTCTCTTTTGCATTTCTCTCTTTCTCGCTTTTATACAAAACACAAATTATACAAATTACAATGTGTAATTTGTGTTGTATAAAGAGAGAGAGAGAGAGAGAGAGATTTGATATACAAATGTTTTATTTCGATTCAACGTAATTGTATACAAATTCAAATTGTATGCAAATATACAAACACAATCATTGATACATATACATAGTAGTTACATATATACAATTATCTAACCGATATACATATACAATCGCTGCGCTTTTATACAAACGAATGCCTGCTTGCGATTTAGACAAATCTGATGCTCCATAGCAAACATAAAAATTTGCTATGGAGCGCAATTATGCAAACTATAGTTATAGCATACCAATATGATTTTTATGTTTTGCTAAACCTAAAATTTACTCTTTATAAAATTAACGTTTTGTGAGTGATCAATTTATTAAGTTGACAATTGTTTACCCTCAAATAATTCAAGTGAGAAAATAATAAACATGACAAAAATGTTCTTCTCCTAGCTAGTTAGAAAGCTACAAAAAAATAATATTGTCCGGGAATTATATGAAATAGAAAATCTCATAATAATTCAAGAGTATAATTGGAAAGAAGTTTTTAGGAGAATCTTACAAACAGAAGATTAAGTGGGAAGCAATGAATCAAACAATTGATAAGAAATAACCTCTGCATTACTAATTCTTGCCTAACTAATCAAACTGCTATTTGTCTGACCCACATAAAATCCGATCTCAGTTAGACTATTTATTCACATATGGAGGCAAAGTTATATCATGACGTTCGATGAAGCAAACAATAGTTGCTACTTCTTCAAATCATGCAGAGATAATAGTCATTCATGAAGCCAGTCGAGAGTGTATATGGTTGAGATCAATGACTCAACATATTTTGCAATTATGCGGTCTTTTTGTGCAAACAAAGACTCCAACAATATTGTATGAAGATAATGTTGCTTGCATAGCTCAATTAAAGGGAGGATATATCAAAGGAGACCGAACAAAGCATTCTTTTTCACACATGTTCTTCAACAAAATGGTGAGATAAATGTTCAACAGATTCGTTCGAGTGATAATTAATCTTCCAGATTTATTCACTAAGGTATTGTCAACATCAACATTTGAGAAGCTAAGATATAAGATTGGAATGCGTCGTCTCCGAGATATCAAGTAAAGTTTTCATCAGGGGGAGTAAAATACGCGATGTACTCTTTTTCCCTTAACCAAGGTTTTGTCCCATTGGGTTTTCCTAGTAAGGTTTTAATGAGGCAGCACTCAAGGCGTATTACAAGATGTGTGTACTCTTTTTCCTTCACTAGGCTTTTTCCCACTGGGATTTTCCTAATAAGGTTTTAACGAGGCACATTATCTATAAACATCCAAGGGGGAGCGTTACAAATCCATTTAATTGTGGATGTTTATTTTCATCAATAACCTAACGTAATGTATTAATTTAATGTAAGCCTTAAAGATGTATTAACGTATTTGGTTTAAGATTGTAAACGGGTGAATTCTACATCCTATAAAAAGGTATTCTTTACCCTTAAGAATGACACACTTGAAGAGATTAAATAAGGGTCTCAACTTTATATTTTCCATCACAATTTGTCTCCCTATATTATTTAAGTATTTTTGTATTTTCCTCTTGTTTTACAACAAATATGACAATTTAGCCTTACTAATAAAAAAATCGGTATAACCATAAAATAGAGGTGGAGTCACAAACCAATCCAACATGCCAAAATCTCTCTACCATCCTCTCCTCTTTCATCAGGAACAAATATACATTGAGCTTTTTGAATGTTCGAGCATCCATTACTTTCGTTCGAATAGACTATATTTATATAGAAATTTCAAGTAATGGTATTAAATTAAAAAATGAGCATCCATATAAGAAAATGTGAATTGGCACGGGTGGTCATACATGGGTGCTAAAGGTTGGCAACAAAACATTCCAAGCTGCTCTTTTGGTGATTTTTTCTAGAAAAGCTTTTATTAAAATTGAAAACGTTTTTTTTTATCCAAAATAATATTATTATAGTTCTTCATATTAATTTTTTTGATATTGTGTTTAGATATGCTTGTCTTTTTTTATGAGTCATAACTTTATTTATTCTATTTTGTGATTGATACTTAAGAGAAACACCATGACTTTAAAATTCTGAATCTGACATTGGACACATTTGTTGATTTCTCTGCCATTGGAGGCCTTTTTTCACCGCCGCCAACAATCCCAAAATCCAGTATAAACAATATTCCCTTCTCATACTCATTTAATTATATAGATATGATTGTTCAAAATCGAACCGAAATTGATAATTTGAATCGAAAAAAAGTTATTAGTTATCGATAATAGGTTATTAGTTTAACGATTTTGATAACAATTTTGATTTTCTTTATTATCAGGCTATCAATTCATAACAGTTTGAAGTTTTTTCTTAACAGGTTAATCGATAATCCAATAGTAAATTGATAAACTATATTTATATCATTTGGTATATAAAGTCTTTGACTTAGAATTTAGTTTCCTATTTTTATTTCTAACAGTCTCAAACTTTCGATTATAAGATGCAATGTATCAATTCATGTGCAGGGTTGATTTGATTTGTCACCATGTTTCTAAGTGATTTTCAATAATTTATTTTTATGTCGAATCTTAACAATTAAATCAATAACCAAACCGATAACGATCAATAACAGATAAATTGATAATCGATAAGTTAAGTGTTCTATGAGGATTTATCATGTCCACAAGTCAATAACTAATCAACTTTAAAATTGGACCTAACTGACCGAAACAGCACTAATTACTAGGGGTGATCCCCATGATGATTTTATCAAATATTGTTAAAAATATCTTCTTGAAAATTCCTAATCTCAACATTGTCTAATGTAATAATTTGTCGGTAATTGCCGATATAACACTTCCATTAAAACCTTAAACAAAGCATATAGAGGCATCATATCTTATTTTATTATAGAAATGATCTCTTATTGAAAGAACTTGGAATTAGAAAAATAGCTCGCCTAGATTTATGTTTTTATTTTATTCTTTAAGAAATTTCTTAAATAAAAATATTCATACAATTAACTTTAAAGTAATTAAAAGATCAGCACTATTTGACTAATCATTATTTTTTATATTAGTTTAGTAAGTAATAAATAGATATGAAAATTTGTTACAATAAAATTAAATTAAGGGAGGTAAGCATAATTTCGTAAACTACAAAAAAGGTTAGTGTGAATGAACTAAATCTGAAGAAAAGTCTCTTAAATTATTCTTATTTTTTAATATTTTAATTTAAAATGAAGTGCTTATATATCATACATTTTTTTCAAATAAATAAATAATAATAAAAAAGTACTT